TTTTTTTTCAAATATCCTGGGAAACACTTTGAAAGTACTTCTTGAAAGCTGTCGTGGAAATAAACTTTATTATTCTAATAATAATGATAATAACTATACAGTCTAACCGATGCGTTCAGCCGGCTTCACTTTCATAACCGCTCCCAGCAGTACCGCGCCGCACCGCCAGGGGGCTCGCTGAGGTTACGCAAGTTCACAGAGCTGCAATTGTGTAACTTCGAGTCTTTCTTTCTTCATCCCGGCGCTAAAACGCGAAGTGTATGTGCACACTGGCGATAGTTTCAGGCCACCTGACGCTCACCAAATGCAGCCTAGGCATGGGATAAATCCCTTATGTAACGCTCACGTTCGCACGGCAACCTAAAGGGACGCAGCTCTGCCGCGTCAAGCTTGTGGAAATGAGCCGCAGAAACACCACCGTTTACAAAATAAGAGAACAATCATGGTAACACATTCAGATAATTTTAGCCTTTCCGCCTAACCGCATGGGTATTATACACAAAACCTGGGTTCGATGTATTCCAAAAAAGACGACGGTGACGGTAAAAAAAAAAAGTCAGTAATATGGCAAAATAAAGGAGGTTGTTAAAAGCGAGGGGCACATCCGGCCAGGAAGTTGTTATGCTATCCCCTGAGCTAACTTTACATTTACAAAATATTGATGTCAATGTCAGAAGCGTGCTGTTGAGTTTCTGGCAAATAAAAATAAAATAATTTAGTGACTGTAAACTGTGTAAAATAAGCGCTGTGATGCTGTTTATGCCCTGACATTAAATCCTCAGAAAACCAGTAAAACTTGGAAGTTTTCTCTTCAGGCTAACTTGGCGGCGCAATCACACTCACATTGGATCAAACGACCGGCGCTGCCCAGGGCTGCCATCATGTTCGCTTTCACTGACGCAAAAAACGTCTCCGCGCCTGCTAAGATTAAGGCTGGATACTGAGACTCTCTGCTGCTGGATCCACAGTAACTCACGGTACTATCCGACACCACAGCCAGATTCCTTCAGCTACCGCCGGCTGCCTGCAAGGACTTCCGTTAAGAGTTATAACAGCTAATGAAAAACAACTTCCGGTTTAGAGTTTCGAAACAAAATCTAACACGAGCTAAACGTTACAAAAACTGCATTGATGTAATGTTATATTTTTCATTAGATTTCACTTGTATATCTTCTTAAAATATATTTA